TTCACTGTACTTGTCCACAGTGACAAGGCACTTTTATCTCACATTCATTTGGCTTAAAATTGTGTGCTTTTATCTACAATACTACATGGCAAAAATAAAACTCAAAAGGACCAATAAACAATGAGAAGTAACATACTGTTTTCCCCGTTGAATTTTTTTTTAGACGGGGGCATCCATGGACCAGCATATAATTCTGTGTAGGAATCCACAGTAGGCAGGAAAAGGAGGAAAAAAAAAAAAAAAAGTTCAGAGTCCAAAAGTGGGAAAGTAGCACGGTTTTCAGCTTTGAGCTTATTACCTTATTTTCAAAGGAGGCCCTGAAGTCAGCTTCACTGCTGTTGATTGTCTGTCATAGCAGCGCTGTGGCAGATGACAGTGACTTTCCTGTCACAGGGACATGATAGCCAACACCCACAATTTAAAGGAGGACAGGTTCATTCTGGATTATTGTTCTTAGAGGTTCCAGTCTCTATTTGAAGAGAGTCATCTTTGTTTAGATGACTATTTAAAGAAGCACCCAAGAACAGTTCAAACATACACAATATTTTTGTTCGGTGGTTTCTTGAATCACAGGTAAAATCCAAGGAAAGAGAGGTTTTTATAACAGCAGCTGCAGGTTTTTTTTTTCTTTAACAGAGGGCAATCAGCTCCATCTAGTGGATCAAAATAACCTACTTTAAAAAAAATATTCAGAGGATCGGAGGAGATTGAGAGAGCAAGCTTCAGCACCAGTTAGTTCCCAATGACCTGGGAGACACTAATTTTTAAATGCTCTGTTTCTTGATTGCAAATCTGCATAATCTTACTAACCTATGAGATATTTTGAAAAGAAGCAAGAAGGCATGTTTTAAACATTCAATAAGTATATTTTTTAATGTGTAGATTCATAAGAGTGGAAACTGCTCAGGGCACATACTATCACCTGCCCTTTGAAAGAAATGGCTTTAATCCAGTTGTGGAGTCTGTAATGTGAGACGCACCGAGGTCACTCTCTTTCAGTGTTGTTACTTTTGATGAAACTTATGGGAGAAAAGGGAAATTGGGGCACCAAGGCTGGCGGTTGGAGGCCAGATGGAAAGTGCTATGGGCCGTTCCTCATTCATTCAAATCTGACTCCATTCAGGAGGATTCAAGAATAAGGAGAGATTGGAAACAAAAACAAAAACGAGCTCCAAAGCCAACACTGCCATATGTCACCAACCTGGAAAAAGACTAGGGAAATTTGAGCTGGAAATAGCTTGACTCTAGAAGAAATTTTCATGAATTGCTTTGAAAGGCATAACACTTTACAGATTATGTTTGCTGAGGAAGACAGAACTGCGGAAAACATAGAATAAAAAAATATGCTGCTTCCCAACTTTTATCTGAATGTTAATTGTTTTGAGGGTGTCGCTCTCCATGGCTGACACATAAGTATTTCCAGAAATTAAAAACAAAAATGTGCTCTGGAGGCACAAATAGCCTCTCACTGACTTGCAAAATAGAAGCAATCAGGAGGTAAGCTTGGGAAAAACAGTGATATCAAACAATTCAAGATGTTTTATGCAAAGTGTAATCAGTAGGGATTTAGTTGGGGGAAAGGTACAAAGAGTAGAGAGAAACAATGTTTCTATTGAACCTGGATTTTACTTTCACTTGGTTTATATGTATCAGGTGTTGCATACTTAAAAGACTCCAAAAATGAAAATACAGGCAATCCTGCCACAGCCCTGGTTTTTCTTAGTCTCCTTCCTCTCGTTACATCCCCAAGAAATGTGTTGTTTTCTTAGCGGGCATCATTTGTCACCCCAAGCAAAAAACTGGAAGGAATGGCACTTGTTTATGAAAAGTAAGTACGGTATAGGCACTTGGAGAGTGTATCTGTAGCTACTCAAAGAGGGTTGCTGGATGGGGATCACTGCTGATACCCGTCTTTTCCACCTGAAACCAAGGCAGCATTTAACAATGTCCCCAGGTGACATGTCTGCACATTAAAGTCTGAGAAGCTAGAGCCTCAGAGTCATCCCAGGTGCAGTCCTGGGAATCAGGACTTTCATGAAATCTCTCCTGAGGATTTTAATGTGTAGTGGAGTTAACTGCAATCAGCCTCATTTTTCAAAGGAGAAAATTATGGCCCATAAAACCTTATGGATTTATCCCAAATCCTCCAGCTATTTAGTATCAGAATTCAAGTACTAGTATCTATCCTCCTTATTTAAAAAAAAAGTGCTGTAATTTGGAGAAACGTCCTCCAAAGGCCCACGCCTTAAAGCTTGCAGAGTGTTGGGAGGTGGCAGGGTCTTTGGGAGTGGGATGTGGTAGAAGGAATTTACAGCATTATGGGTGGTCCTGTCAAGAGAATATGAGGCCCTGGATGCTCCCTTCTCCCCTGCTTGTGCTTCCTGGGTGCCATGAGGTGAATAGGCCTCCTCCACCATGTGCTGCTCACCCATGGGCCGAGTGACCATGGACTAAAACCTCCAAAACTATGAGCCAAGACAAATATTTTCTTCCTTGTACGTTATTATCTTGGGTATTCTGTCACAGGTATGGAAAGCTAACATAGAGGCTCCAGGGGACAGAGGGCAGGGAGTGTGTGTGGGGATTATTTTATATAGCAAATGCCTTCTTGAGAAAACTGTTATGAGAAAAGAGAGGAAGATGGTGGGCACAGGGATAGATGAGTGCTCTATTCCAGGCAGAAGCAATGAGGTGTCTGTGCACATGTGTGTGTGTATTTATTTGTAGTGGAAAAACAACGGAGTTGGGTTCCCAACAGATATTAACTTTGGGATGTAGAAACAAGAAATCAGAACTCATTTGCATTCTGAAAATCTTGTTATTCTCCTTTCCTCCTCCTTTTCCTCTTCTGCTTCTTCTCCCCCTCCTTCTCTTCCTCCTTCTTTCTTCTTTTTCCTCTTCCTCTCCTCCTCCTCCTCCTTCTTTTGTACTAGGGATTCAACCCAGGGCTGTGTGCTTACTGAGCATGGCCCCTACCACTGAGCTATACTCCTAGACCCCTATTATTTCTTTTTTGGGTACCAGGGACTCATATATGCTAGAGAAGTGCTCTGCCTATGAGTGGCTCATTTTATTTTATTTTATTTTGAGACAAGACCTCACTAAGCTGCCCAAGCTGGCCTTGACCATTGATCCTCTTGCCTCAGCCTCCCAAGTAGTTGGGATTTCAGGTATGTGCCATTATGCTTCTCCTTTGTTCTTCAAATACTGCTAACCTTTTTCATATTCTTTGTTATTATGACTACCCAAAGCTTTTGTTTAAAAACTATGAACTATTAATTTTATGTGTTTATTTTAAATTTTTTTTGAGATAGGGTCTTGCTATGTAGTTCATATTGGCCTTGAACTCGTGGAGATCTTCCTGCCTCAGCCTTCTAAGTGCTGGGTTACAGGCATGCTTGGCTAGAAGTGTTTACAAGGATACAAGTGGAAGGGTGTAGGGGGTGAAGGGAGGGCAGGGGTATGGGGAAAAATAAGAACCACGATACATCATGTAAAGCTACAAGATGGCAATGATGAATGTAACTACTGTATACCTAAAAAGTACCAATAAACTCAATGAAAAAAAAGGATACAAATATAGCAACTATTCAAATAATGAAAAACAAAGAGAACAATGTTGGGTAGTATTTAAATAATATAACAGTTACCTAACAGAAGGTCAAAGCAAAGAGCATGTTTTGGGAAATGAACTATAGTTTAGATACATTGAATACACTGAATCAGGTCAGCCTGGAATATTGTCTTTTAAGGAAGGTCAGCAGAGGCTTTTAATTTTTTTTTTTAAATAGGAGATTTCCACAAACAACAGTTTTGGGAAGCTGTTTATTAGCTGGAAAGAAATCCTAAATGGAAACTAGGGTACTCTCAGCTAAGAGTGCTGTTTATTCAACTCTGCTGGAACATTCTGTGCTTTGACCTTTAGCAGATGTGAGTTCAGTCCTCCAGAAATCTCCCGATTCCCCTTTAGTAAGCCTTCTTTTTGTTTTGTTTTGTTTGTTTGTTTGTTTTGAGACAGGGTCTCACTATATAGTTGAGACTGACCTGGAACTCACTATGTAGCCCAGGCTGGTCTTGAACTCACAGTGATCCTCCTGCCTCAGCCTCCCAAGTGCTGGGATTATAGGCATGTGCCACCACGCCCAGCTAGGAAGAACTTTTTATTTTCTTTCTTCCTTAGTGGTGCTGGGTATTGAACCCTTGCTAGGTGAGTAAGTCCTTCTACCTCCCTAGCCATATACACATCTACTAGCAAAGTTAACAGCACAATGTAGCATCTAAAGTTGGAAACTGCCAATATTTGAACTTGTACTGAATCCCAAATTCATTTCTTGAAACGCTGCTCACTGAATATGTATGAAACATGAGTATCAGTTTATTAATATTTATTTTATTTGGAAGGAAGATTCATTGCCAGCAGACAGGGTCAGGAACAGACACTTACAACATGGCCTCAGCTACAAGCAGTGACTGGTCAGATCCTCGACCATGCCTCTCCCAGAGCTCCAGTCCTAGTTCGTGGCAATGTTGATTTCAACCTCTGGCTCAGAGTGTTAGCATTTCTGCTCTTGCTTTCCACTTGACCTCAGTGGATTTCTTTAGTAACATCTCTATGTTGGCCGCTAAGGTTTATTTCTCCTATGAGAATTAAAATACTTCCTCTGTTTTCTTGATTTCTCAATTAAATAAAAAGTCACTAGAATTACAGAACATAACATTTCAGGAGAAATTCTGAGAAGAATTTCCTGCACAGAACACTAACAATGAGGACAGGTAGGTGGTAGGACTGGAGCAAGGTAACAGAGACCTGATCATTTAGGACCCACAGGCATCGTAAGGGCACTAAATGAAATGGGGAGCCATGGGGATCTCTGAACAGAGGAGCAATATGGTTTGGCTTAGTATGATTCAGACTGCTGTGTTAAAAGTAGAGCAAGGGCAGTATATAGGACTTACAAAGTAGGCTACAATGGCCTGCAGACTCAGGCTGTGGGAGAACACAAAAGGTTTGTCTGCCCACTGGAGTCAAGCAATCCAGTCCAAGGTGGAAGATCCCACTGGAGTCTGTATTGGGAAGCTGAAGGATCTGCACCGGAAGTCTGAAAAGTCTGGGCTGGAAGGGTGAATTCAAGCTGCAAGGCTGGAGACAGACCTCCAAAGATGAAGGATATGACTGGAGCTCCTCCAAAGAACTAAAGGCCAGACTTCTGTCTTCTTTCCCTTTTTACTCTGCTCACAATACAAGCTTAGCAGTTGGTGCTATTCACTCCCAGGGTGGGGTCTTCTGTCTTCAGTGAGTCCATCATTCAGTCGCACTCAGAACTCTGCCAACCCTCTCAGGTGGGTGTTTCTTACTCAAGTTGACATAACAGTTAACTATCACCGGCAGGGAAGGCCTTTGCGCAAAACACTACAATTAAGTAATGGTACAAATCTGGGTGACATGATGGACCTGAATGGAAGCACTGAGTGAGAAGGGTTTGGATTCTGGATTTCTTTTGTATATAGAGCTGATATGTTATTTGACGATTGTAGCATGTGAGGAGGAAGAGGAACTGATGATAATTCATGATTTTTGGTTTGAGCCTGGCAGAATGGAGTTAACATTTACTGAGGTGGATGGGGCTGGAATGCAGAGGGGCACCATGGAAAAGGACTTTTGATTATTGACGTGTTAAGGTTCAGATTCTTCTTACACATCTAAGCGGAAATGTCAAGTAGGCATTCATATAAAGGAATCTGGGGTTCAGGGCAGAAGTCTGGACTAGAGACAGAAAAGCAGGATTCAGCAGCATACAGATGACATTTACACCCAGAAGGTTTTTACAGCCAGCACTGCTGTAGAGTGTAGCTGTGTTCTTTGGGGAGCTCACTGAACCTGTGTCTGTTTACCCTGAAAAAGAATGAAGAAATACACATCCTACCTACCTAAATAATAACGATAAACAGCTCACAAACGTGAAAATGTTTGTTAACCATAAAGTGCTGTTCAGTCTCAAAAGTAGAAGACATCTGGTTGTACCGAGGATGAGGAAAACCAGCTATGGGATCCAGGGGAAAGTCTTCATGGGCTGAGAATTAGAGAAACTACGGAAAAAAGGTGCAAATCGGTTATTAAACTTTTTAGACCATAGCCCAATCTGTGCAAAACTAGTCTTGTTTATACACTACCCAAGTTTACCAAAAGCCTCCTATGCAGGATAGGATCTTTTTGAGCTGTACACCAGTCTTGCAAGAAGGAAATAATTATCAGCCTTATTTTACGGTGGGCAAAGCCGAGCTCAGTGAGGGGAGCTAGCATCAGAGTAATAGGACACAGCACCAGACATCCGGAGTCCTCGATCAGAGGCCAACCTAAATCCAAACACTGCCTTTTCCCCACCAGCCCTCTACCGCAAAGGCTGAGAAGACAGCAGGGTTTCCTGACGCGCCGCGCCGCCCCGCCCCGCCCCTTCGCCAGTCTTCCCGGCCGCCCTCCCCCACGTCTCATTTCCGGATGGTATAGCCCATTCCTCCTATCGCGAGACTGCAGACGCTTGGCTCTGGTTGCTAAGGGAACAGCGTTCCCGGAGACTGGCGTGGTTTGGATCTCTCTCATCCTCCACCTGTGGAGAACCTGCAGTGGTGGGAAAGAGCTCTCCCCTTTAGGGGTGAAAGGGTGACGGTGACGCTCAGAGTGTCAGCGGCGGACTTTTGTGCCTTCAGTGCTCTGGCGACCGATGACTAGCTCCCAGCACAGCCAAAAGGTGAGGGGCCGCACGGAGACGAGAGCACTAGCCGTCTAGTGGGCGGAGTCCTGTCTGGCTGCGTAGTGGAGGACGGGCTTTCGGGTGAGGCTGGCAGGGCCAATGAGAGGGCGGATCGGGTTGAGGGGGCGGGTTCAGTCCCAGAGCCTGCTAGGGGCGGGGCCAGGCACGGACGGGGCGGGACCTGGAGTGGCGTGGGCGTGGCAGTGGGCGGGTCCGGGGTTGGTAGAGCACGAAGGTCTGAACGCCAAAGGCTGCAGTTCAGGACTTCCAGCACCTGACTGCAGACAGATTTCCACCTTTCCGTGCCTTCTGGCCTCTAAAGTTTATAGTGGCCAGTAAACGTTTGACTACAGACTCAACTTTTCTCCCACTTAAAGTAATGTCAACCAAATTCAGAAATTTTTGCACGTCTGTCAGTTCGGAGAAGGTGAAAAGGCTTTGCTGAGAACCAGACTGGAGTCAGGCCACGGAGGGGACACATGCAGTGTGATGTCAACACGCCCCGCTGGTAGTGACGTCATTTGGTATTATCGTTTTGGAGCACAGCTTGGCGGACTACAAACTAGAAACACAGGTGTTCTTTGATAAAGCAATTCTGATTTATCTGACGGATATATGAGCTTAACTAAAGTTTGACACAGAGATACTAACTTAAAGTTGAGGTATCCTTTACATGTGGCAAAATTTACCTTTACATTGTACAGTTCTCTGAATTTTGACAGTTATGTAATTACCACCGCAATCAAGACAAAACAGTCCCCCGCCCATTCCATCCCCTAGTACCTACCCTTTGTAGTTAACATCCCTGGCATCCTGACCTGGCAGCCATTCATCAGTTTTCTGTCCAGCGTGTTACGCGGATAGAAATAAACACTATGTCACCTTTCGAATCTAGCTTCTTTCCATTTAGCACAACGCGTTGATACCCATCCATGTTCTGCGGATCAGTTGCTTGTTCCCTTCTACTGCTGATGTATTGTGCTGTAGTTTGCTTATCCAGTCACTGGAAGAGTGACATTTGAATTGTTTCCAGAGTTTGGGGGGGACGAATAACTCTTCATGTACAGGTGTTCATAGGAATATGATATCTATAGTAGGTACACGTTTAACTTGATAAATTGCCAACAGTCTTGCAAACTGACTTTTCTGTTTTGTGTTCTCACCCTTAACGTAGGAGTTCCGGTTGTTGCCCACCTTTGTCAGCTCTGGGTATTGTCAGTTTAAAAAAAATTAAGTTTTACCATTCAGATTGGTGTGTAGTGGTATCTGATTGCGGTTTCACTTCAAAAATTTCAGAGGACTACTGAGGCTGAACATCTTTTCATTTGTTAATTTGACATCCATCCATCTTCCTGGGTAAAATGTCTTTGTCCACATCTTTGGTTTTCTTATTATTGATTCTTGGTGCTTGTTTATATATTCTGAATACAAGTTCTTTGTCAGAGATGTGTTTTGCAAATATTTTCTCCTGTCTTCAGGTTTTGCTTTTCTTTTACCAGCAAAACATAAGTTTTAAATTTTGATGAATTCCAGTTGAGTACGTTTTCTCAGAGTTATGCTTTTGATTTTACCGCCAAGAAGTCGTTGCTAAACCTACAGTCACACATATTTTCTAGACATTTTGTAGTTTTAAGATTTACTTTAGGTCTTACAGTAAATTAAAAAAAAACAACAGCTTTTAATAGCAACTCCAACATGTATTGATTAGAAATGCTGTGTCTGTGCACTGGCCTGTTATGCTTCTGTTTGAAAGAATGAAGCATGTCTGTAAATAGTTATGTAGAAAAAAATCTTATATGGTGCATTTGAAAAAGAAAATTGGAAAGCACCAGGCCATTTATATGTGTTTGTGTTGGGGAGGAATAGGTTAGTATAAAGGGCCGAAGGTTTGTATGTACCTACAAATGAAAAAACAAAAACAAAAACATTTGTTCTTGAAGGGAATTTTAGACTTTAACAATTTTTACATTGTTCTGTACAATCTGATTTTTCTCTCTGTTGGACAAGTAAGTATTCCTTATATAATAAAAATACATATTTGGTAAAAAAGACCATATATAATTTTTGACATAAAGATAATGAAAATAAATTAAGTCTTTATTTTTAGGCCTTCTGTTCTAATTACCAAACAGAGGAGGACTCATGTTCTTTTAATTCTTTTATTCATCCCTCCAAAAATCAAATTATAGTTGCCATATGTTTCCACTTGGGCTTTAAATCATCTGTGGAGTCTGCATTTCCTGTAGCCTATATGAAAAGGTTTAAATTAATCTTGTTTGATGTGAATGTTATGAAAAGTTGGCATATGTTATCAGTGATTTGTTGACATATATCTATATAATGAAATATCATCAAGTAAATCTTATTCTATTTCCAAAGTATGTTAATGTCATAAGGAAAAGCTCACTGTAGGTGAGAAAGATGTGAGTCCATTTTTGTCAAAAAGGATATAGAGGAAGAACAGAAATGTACCAACAGTGAACAACTCAGGCTGGTAGAATGTTGGGTGATTTTTTTTTAATTTTAAAAAATACTTTTCAGTAATTCTAGAAAACTTTCTATAATAAGTTTTTAAATCATAAATTGAAGATATTCTTCATAAAAAAACCCCAAAATACAGGTAAGTAAAAGGCAAAACAAAAACACAGAATCATCCAGGAATGCACCAATCCAGAACCTACCACTCTTACCTTACCTTGCTCATGTCCAGTCACCTTGTAAGTCTCTTACTATATATTCACTTTTTAGAGAAATAGACTATAAGCAAGGTTATTGCCAATTTGCATTCCTTTCCCTCTCTTCTTTTCTCCTTTTCTCTCCTTTCTTGTCTCCCTTCTCATTCCCTCCTGTCCTTTTCCCTTCCCTTTTTTTTTTCTTTTTAAAAAATTGTTAGAACATGTCTGGAGTACATAACGATTACATTCATCATGGAGAATTGGAATGTGTACAGAATACATCTTAATTCTTTTTTTCTCTCTGCCCTTGCCTTTCCTTTCCCCTTTCTTCTCAAATACTCAGCTGTATCTTTAAGATCTGATTTCAATGCTCTCTACCTATACTATTTTCCACAGGTCCAAATCAATTCAGAGATAGTCTTGTCAATTACGCTCACCCTTCCTGGGGACAATATTTAGCTGAATTCACTGTTTTCAGGGGAGAATGTAGTAGAGCAGATTGAAAGGCTTCTGGAGCCGCTGAGCTGACCCACGCTTTTGTGCCCCTGCATTTCCCGATGGGTATTGTGTTGGCTGTGCACTTGCATCTGTGCCATTGCTCCCTCCATGCCCTGTAATCCGTCTCCCTTGACAGCATGCTTAGGTTGCTCAGAAGACATTTGGCCTCTTGGTGACTTGTGCTGTCCGGTTGGGATGTGATGAGCCAGGGTGATCCATCATCCCACAATAACAGTGTCAGTGAGTCCAAACCCTTTGGCAGAGTGTGAATGGAGTTGAGATCAATGCTGAGATGGAAAGAGTTGACCTAGTTGTTGCTTAAGTATCAGCTTTGGCACCCCGAAGAGCTGGAAGCCAAATCATTACCCCTCTGGGTGCTGAGGAGGAGCTCAAGTTGGTGATGTTTGTGATTCCTCCTGCATCAGAAGCCTCTCTGGTCTCTCTGCCTCTGTGGTTCACAGACGGAAAGAAAGATGACTGTTACACTTGCAAGGGTACAGGCAATTGACCTTTGTTCTCTGATGAAAGAAATTATTTGATAGGGAACTGTAAGAGTAGAGAGGATTTGGTGGAAGATATCCATTCATTTGTAATGCTGTGTATTGAGAGGTCCAGAGCCAGACTTTTCCTCTTTCTTTGATCAAGCTGGGGAGCCCTGAAGTGTGACTTTGGTCATAACACGATACTTCAAACAAGGCTCTGAGTACTTGGATATAAACATTAATGAACCATTTAAACATCTAAGTTATTGCTTTTTAATGTTTTTGTTTTAGGATGTCAATGGATATTATAAAGGGAAACCTAGATGGAATTTCAAAACCAGCCTCAAGTTCAAGAACACGTCCTGGGAGCAGGAGTTCAAGTGCTTCTTTAGAGGTGCTTTCACCAGAACCAGGGCCCTGCAAGGTACCTTGCTGCTTAGAAATGAACTGACTGTTTATTTCACTTAAGAGTAGGGCCTCAAGGTTTAGCTATACATGTTTATCATTCTTTATGGCTGAATAGTACTCCATTTTATTTAAAAAAACTCATCTTCTTAATCGAGTCACTAGTTCCTGTGCATTTGGGCTGTTTCCAAGATTCAGCTATTACACACTGTGCTGCTACAAACATGGGTGCACATATATCTCTGTGGTGTGATGCTTTTAATTCTTTTGGGAAGATAGGGGAATCACTGGGTCAAATGGGACTTCTAGCCCTAGTTTTTTGAGGAATCTCCATACTGATTTCCACAGTGGCTACACCAGTCTACACTCTCACTGACACATAGGTGAATACTGAATAGTTTCTCTGGTGTGAGAAACTGAAAATGTAAATGAGGACCAAATGTACAATGGACAATGTGAAATAAGAAAAGGTCAAAGGGAGGAAGGGGAAGAGGGAGGGGAGGAAGGGAAAGGAGAGAAGGAAAGAAAGTATGAGAAAAGAAGGAAAAACACAGAAACAAAGTTTTTTATAGATAGGGAGGGGTAGAGGGTTGGAAGGGAGGGAAGGGGAATGGGGAAAAAGAAGAACCAAGCTATCATGTGCAGGTACAGATTCCCAGTGATGAATGTCATCATTTTGAATACCTAAAATGTATCAATTAACTTAATAAAAAAATTCATTGACTGCCTCCTTCCAGTCTGTGCAGTTAATGAAACAGGGGTGGTTGTTAAATTCATTTTGTTTCCTCTTTAGAGAGAGTGTGCAGGGAGCATTTACTGGTTTCTTGGATTTTATTCTAGATTGTTTAATATGAAAGTACTCACCTCCTTCCTCCCTCTTACTCCTTTCTTATTTTGGAGTGTGGTTTATGTTTTCCTTCAAAAGGAAGCTTTTATTCCAATAGCTAATATATACTCATTGATATTTACTATGAAAAAGCTTCAGTATTTAAAAAAGTGGTTGAGGCTGTGTGGTGTATATTTTATAGGTGTATTACCTGGTCATGACTTCTTTTCCTATAGTAGTTATCTGTTTTTCTTTTCTTAAACTGTTTAATCTTAATTAAAAAAAAAGAATCGGCTTCTTCATATGTACAATTTTCAGGTTGTAGGAAAAAGTTTTTGAAATTTATGATGAAAAAAAAAAAACCTCTGTGAATTAATGAATCCATACTAATTTTTAAAAATTTCTAGATTTTGCATTAGAAAATGTCTGATTTTTGTCTATCATGATTTAGTGCAAGAAACAACACTGGATGTATTTGTAGCATAAAGGGCTTGGATATAAGAACCCAGGCTCTCCAAACTGACAGAAGGCCAGCAGGAAAGGGGGTCTGGGGACGGGGCCTCCATGTCACACAGCTGTGGCTGTACCCAGAGACCAGAAAGCTACTCCTGCTGCTGCGTCTGGCACTGCCCAAGACTTCCAGAACCACAGAGTTGGTCACTAGACATGCAGAGGTGGCCACTTTCAATATATTTTTCCAGCTTCCTATCAGGAGCTTAGACATCACTTCTCCTTTCAATCTTGGGGAGCTTGGTTCTGCTGGGTTTCTGTCCTGGACCAGTCAGGGAGATGCTTGCCCCTGTGAGCCGCATTCCTAGCAGTTCAGTTCTCAGCACTACTGGTTTGCCGTCCCTGAGATTTGCAAGGGGACTGCACATTTCTTTGTTGGAGAGAGAGCCTGGGGGCAGAGAAGCACAGAGCCTTCTAGGGGTGGAGCCAGAGGGACTGAGCAGAACTCACTGCTCCCTTGGGCCCTGTTCGCTTCTCTGGGGTTCTCACTGCCATGCAAAGACCTCAGAACCCTATGACTCTTGTTTTCTCCTGACCCAGTCATGGCTGTCTTTCCTTTTTCTCTCTTAGGAAAACACAACTATGCCAAACTCTTTTTTTCAAAACGAACTTCGCTAAAATGTAAACAGAAACTAAAACAAAACAAAACAAAACAACCCCCCCCAAACAACCAAATTCAACAAAGCTGAATAGCATAAAAATAACCACAGCACATGATTCTGATTAGAAGACTCTCATTAGAAGAACATCTCAACTGAGACTGCCGCTTTTCAGCTGTTTAACACATGTGGATAGGGTTGCTGTAGAGCTTGAGCTTGGACTGTCTGTCTGGGTGTAAACTCTGGATGGGGCCCATCACGGCTCTTCCCCAGAGCCTGGCAGACTGGGCTGCAGCTCTTCTCCAAAACTGCTGGAGATTGCTGAAGAATGGCACAGATTTGGTATAAATGTTATTCAAGTTGTGTATTTAAGTTACATTTAATTAAGAATGTATATTTCTAGGTACTTTAATGCCAAGTGTATATATTCATGTCTGTCTCCACCTCTGCTTCCATTAGTGTTAAATATTCGGAAATGTGAAGGTTTAAGAAAATACATTATTTTTTGGAACCTGGTGTTTTGGAAATTATTTTTAGGTTGAAACTGCAAGCAAGTTGAATTCTGGTAAAGAGGACAACTCAGAAAGCAGTAATACAGAGGAAAGAAGAGATAGTAAGGATGCTGAAGGCACAAACTACTCTGGGAAAATAAAACTGGCCAAGGAGGGGTCAGATGAAGGTCTGGACTTGGTTCAACATCAGATAAGCCCTGAGCATTCAGGTAGGATAATCACAACGTGATTGGCTGATATAAAATGATATAGTCAAAATATTAGAATTACATGTGCTTTTAGTCAGCTAAGGAGAAATAATAAACCCCAAACTGTGCTTTTGTGAGAAGGCCTGTGAATACATTGAGAAATGTAATAAAACACATCATTTAATAGAATTATTTTTGTGCTCATTTTACATTAATCAAGTAGAGACAGTTAGTACAATCTGTGGCATGATGTCTAAAATTGCACAATAAAATGTATCCTATCATCTGTAAATGCTCTTTTAGGGATATTATCACCAAAATTCATAACACTTAGATTTGTAAAAGCTATCTTTTCCTCAGAAGATGTGAAATGAATTCCTGTCAGATTGGATTAGAAGAGCTGCTCTGCCTTGTGATTTGCAGAGCCCTGGGCCTGAGGATGGCTCTCTGACTCTTCCAGAGAGTCTGTTTGCTGAAGAACAATGAGATTCTGTCTGCCTGCTTGCCCACTGCTTTGACATTCACACCAAGGACACAAAAGGGACAGTGGGCAGAACTGCTGGTGCCTCAGCATGAATCAAGATAGTTGGCACCAAATTGTGCTAGAAGCCATTGTGTTCTTTGCAACCGGACACTGGCAAGTAAAAAAAATAGTGTCACTCATGGTTCTTGATGAAGCAGAAATCTTGACACTATACACATCATCTTAGTATCCTGTGGGGCAAAATGGAAAATAGATGTAAAACAATTCTGCATATACCAAAATAGAAAGGTTGTGTTGAAGAAAAGCAATTATGAGATAGCTTGAGTTGAGAATTGTGCTGGCCACTTTTTAATGGCACCATTTTTTTATCTGAAATAACAGGAGACAGACAAGCTTGTTATTCACACCTGGGCATTTGGTACAACTTTTTTTTTTTTTAAAGATGAAGTGAGCCTTTTACTTCAGGGAAAACTAGTGACAGTGTTTGCTGCTAGTGATAAAATTTAAATATTCAAAGGAAAAATAGAATTTTTGAAGACTGTGTGTGCCATTGTAAACTTGATAGCATGCCAATACTCAGACTTTTCTGATAAAAATTGGCAGTAATATTAAAAATATGATTTTTGATGTTGTGTAATGAAATGTGCTCATACCTACTTTGGAGGTCTGCACAATTCTGTTAACCACTATTTCCCAAGTGACCAATGCAAAGTGAAAGATCCATTCATCATGAAAGATAGATCCATAGATTTTAATGGAAAAAAACTCAAAAAGCTCATATAATGACATATTTCACACTATAAGTAATCTTTAAGAAGCTGTCCTTATCAAATTTTGGTGTAATATCAAAGAAAAAACATCCATTTACTCAAATAGGCTATTAAATTGTTCTTCCTTTTCCTAACTACATTTCTGTTTGAGCCCAATTTTCTTCATATATTTTAACCAAAACATCAAATTACAATAGATTGTACAAGAACCCACCTCTATTCTGTTAATCCAGATATGAAAAATTTAGAGCAAATGCTACTTTTCTCACTAATATTTTTGGAGAATATAGTTATTCGTTCCAAAAAGGGTGATATTTATACTAACATATAATTAGGAGCAACAAGTTTATTATTATTTTACAATAAATTTACTTATTTTTTGGAGTTTTTGAGATAGGGTCTCACTATGTAGCCCAGGCTGGCCTTGGATTTGCTGTAATTCTCCTGCTGAAATTACAGGCGAGTGCCACCGCACCCAGCAATTTTAACTTGTAACAATTGGTAATTGTAAATAGGTGCAGCCTACATATCAAAAAGGGACTTTGACCTTCAATAATTTATGAGACTCTAAAGGGCAGCAGAGACTAAAAAGCTCGAGAACTGCTGATTTATAATATGTTTGGGAGAGAGAAGCAGTCAAAGTTAAGGTAGGTGACTCAGGATTAGGGTTAGCAGGAAGGAAGGTATTGTAGTTGAGATCAGGTGTTAGCGCAGCTCACTTAGTAGTATTTGTTTGTATTTTTTCAGTACTGTGTGAATTACTTCCAGATACCTGGTATGTAGTGTTCCTGTGTAAATGGAGTCCAAGAATGCTGTCATTGGCAGTTGGGGATCAGAACTAGGGGCTATTGCATTTGAAGCATATAAGCATAATATCTGAGGAGCCTCCTTATTAATAACATTGATTTTTTTGGATAAGCTTCTAGTCTTTAAAAATCTTTTTCCTCAAGGAGGAAGGTAGTGTATATTAAGCATCACTAGACTCTTCGGATCTTAAAACTTGTTAAATTTAGCCTTACTTAGCATGATAGACTATTTTTAAAGATGGAGTCTGGAATGCCTGAGACTTCATACTTGAACATTGTGCTCATTGCCAGATTATTAGCTTTCACTGGTTTTACAGTGGGAGTATTACCTGGTGGCTAAAGGCTTTTGCTTTAGAGGGAGACAGATTGGGTAAAAACTGACTCTGTCACTTACTGGTTATATTACCTGGGACATGTATGTAACTCAGGTAGAAATTAGCCTCATTTTCATAGTTTGGAAGATAAAGACAGAGATGACACTACTTCGGAGGGTCAGGATGAGCTTTATTTATTTAGTTTTCCTCATTGAGTTTACTGGTACATTTTAGATATGCAGTACAGTTACATTCATCATTGGGAACTTGTACCTCTACATGACAGGTCTTGGTTCTCATTTTTTCCCCATACCTTGCACTCCCTTCACCCGGTCCTCCCTTCCCTATTTACAAAAACTTTATTTCCATTTTTTCATTTTCTCATATTTTTTTCTTTTCCCTTAGTACCTTTCCACTACCCTTCCCACTTCCCCTACACCTTTAGCCCCTTTCTTCCTGTTTCACATTGTCAATTATACCATTAGGATCTTATTTACAATTATAGTTTTTCACACTAGAGAAACCGGCATTTACACATGTGTGACTTATTCATTTCACTTAGGATGAGCTTTAAATGGGTAACATGTAAATAAATCACTTTACACTGTGCCTATACGGTAACTCTATAAATATCAGCTGGCTTTATTATCATTATCGTTTTCATTCACTGTGAGTTAAAACTTGAGTGACAAAAGCGTTAATGTCCTTAGTTTTAAAGAAATTTCATTCAATTGTCCACAATTTAAGAATATTTTTAGTTGCTTGAGAAATTAGAAAAGGGGGAAGGGCATAGACAAAAGCCACGTCTCCTACATGGAGTACTCATGGGAGGCTGTTTCTCCTGTATGTTGGTACCACTTTGTGTCTGTTGTGCCCATCCCTCTTTGCTGTAGCTTGCTGTGTTCACTCCTTCTCTTTAAGTTAGTCTGAAGCAATAAATCCCATGTCCTTTTTCTTACTTTCTATTTGTTAGTCAAGGACGTAGAAGAAATAGCAATGTGAAGGAAAAAGAAGTTGGGATTTAAAATAATAAGAAAACCACTTCTGAGCCCAGAGCTGGGCTTTATTAGTTTTACTGAAAGGGCACAGTTACCTTAACTGTAAATAGGGGTAGGTATCTATTTCACAGGATTTTTAGATAATTATATGAAAGAACCATCTTGTGACTCCTTAGTTCCATGGCGTCGTTGCCACAGTTGTAACCAGCAGCCAAAAGTATTTGTGGAATGAAAGAATGAAGAGTAAAAATAAAACTGTTTTACTAAACTCCAAACCTGTCCCTATTTTCAACACAATACAGATGAACCCAAATTAAAAGAATTAGATTCTCAACTTCAAGATGCTATTCATCAGATGAACAGACTTGATAAAATACTGGCAAAAAAACAGTACAGAGAAAAAGAAGTTAAGAAGCAAGGTGTAGAAAGGCGAGTAAAGCTCTGGGAAGCACTTAAGGTGAGAGGTGTATAATCTTGTGCTGATGTGCAGCAGTTGCTCTAAGATGAGTAAGAAAAGCACGTGTTATGGGAGGTGGTTTGCCTTTAATTTACAGAGCTGATGACAGTAATCTATGTGCGCGCGCGCGTGTGTGTGCATGTGTTTGTGTGCATATGCGTGCACGGGGTGATGCCTTTCAGGAACTAGAGAGTATAACTTGGTCTGCGGCATTCCAGATTTGTGCACTGCCCTGGTGTGTTCATTTCCCCATGGACATGCCAGGTAGATATCTCTTATTAGTGTTAGGTTGAGGCATCTCCCCTTTGGAATAGAAAGGAATGTTTAGTTACTCTCATCAAGCCTCTGCTTTCTCTTCAGTAAGCTTACAGCTCAGGAATAAATCGATAAATGCATACGAATTCACCCCCCGCCCTTGGTTAGCATTATTATTTGAGTAACTGTTGTCATCAGCAAGCCGGGAGTTCACTGTTCCACATGATAGTCAGGATCTTTTTAGGAAGGTGTGACGTGCTTGAGGCCTGGAACCTGTTCTGTTTACTTCTGTCTCAAGCAATTCCTGGTTCTTGATTAACTTTGGCCTTGTGGAGCTCTTGTTCTCTGTAGTATTGAGCAGGTGAGGTTGACCAGATGTTGGCCCTGACTTGGCATAGAGCCATTGACTCATTTGAATTTTGCCTCTTGAATTGGAGCACTTGCTGGACATGGTGGCGCATGCCGATAATCCCAGCAACTGGGAGGCTGAGACAGGAGGATTGCTTTGAGTTCAAGGTCAGCCTGGGCTACAAAGTGAGACCCTGACTCAAAAAAAAAAAAAAAAAATCAAAGAGTATATTTGTCTTCCTTTACCATGTTTAAACTTTGATTTTTCTTTCATTAGTCTGCAAAAAATAGCGAAGCTTTGCAAAGTAATGAAGAGATGGAAAATACAAAAAAATTTTTATCTTTGACCACTGCATCTGAACAAACTGTTGGTAAGTAGTTGGAGAGACCATTCATCTTTGTTTTAAATCTCAGAGTGATAACATATTTGGATTAAAGTTAAATCCCCAATTCAAAATTCTTCTTTTTCTTGGTGAGTCTGACCCTTTAGGGGAAATAACTGATCACATTAAGTAGGGTTATATTGAGAATGTTTCAGCTTCTTTAAGGGCTTGTATCCGTTTAAGAATAATGAGGACAGAGCAGGAACACATTGGAAAATAGGCCCAGTGTGTCTTTGTACTGCCTCTAGAGGATATCTGATGCTACCACTCCTCTGCCCAGGATTCTCTCACTAGGCATCACTCTGGCCTGAGCGACCCTTTCATAAAAATCAGTTACCGATTTTCCCTATTTTCTGTTCTCTCACAGTCCTACTTTTGGAGACCATCCAGTTGATTCTGCACATAGATTTCTACTTTCCCCCTGTGTGTATGTATATTTGTGAGATTGTTCTTTTTAAACAAATATATGAAGTTATGCAACCTTTTTACCTTTGCAGGAGAGTCTTAAATCCTTTCACCTGCATCCCATAGGCAGTTATCCAGCTCTAATCAAAGCAGGGAACACTGGGGCCCTTTTGTTCTTTATACAGCGATGTCTACCAATTTAGAATCCCAAGAACTTTTTTTTTTTTTTTTTGGCTTTTTGAGGCAGGGTCTCACTATGTAGTTGAGACTGACCTGGAACTCACTATGTAGCCCAGGCTTGTCTTGAACTCACAGTGATCCTCCTGCCTCAGCCTCCCTGAGTGCTGGGATTACAGGTATGCGCTACCACGTCTGGCTGATCCCAAGAATTTAATTTGAGTTACTGAAACAGTGTAGCATGCAGCTTTGGTGTGAATAATATGACTTTGACGTCTTCCCTTTCTGGACCCAGATTTGAGCCCTCAGAAGCTGCTAGGGCAGTGATGGTGAACACTTTAGAGCTTTTCATGATGCAAATAGCCCGCTGTGGCCCATGTGGTATAGGCTCGCCACCACTCTGCTAGGGTTTGGGAAACTTGGGTTTGCAGGGCATCAAGTATTTCTTTTGAAGAAGGTGAGTGTTCCTCTGAGTTGCCTCTTTTATAATGAAGGACTTTAAAAAAAATGACCCTTTCAGGTCTCCACTAGGTAGATCCATAGCTAGAGTGACTTTATTAAAATTTACCTTGCCATTTATGTGTCATAATTGAAACACCAATAATCCTGTCTATATTAAAATAATAGATCATTTACTTTATGCTTCTTTTACTTTATTACAGAAGTAACATATGGATAATTTATCTTACAAATATTGGTAAATGTTACTGTCACCTAAATTCTCAACATGCAGAGACAATCACTATTAATATTGTGGTTTATTCTTTATCTTTTGATATATATTTAGTGAAAATATACATATATATATGTATATTTAAGAATAAAAATGGGATAAAATTAGACACACTGTTTTGTGACCTTTTAAAAAAATTATTTTGTATCTCATGAGCTCCTTTAGGTTTCAATAAGAATTAATCTGTGTGGTAGCTCGTTTCCAAGATGGTGGCCTTCAGTTCCTCCCTTCTAGGTATTCTCATTGTGCTCCTCACTAGGGGATAGTGCAGGGGACTGTAATGTTGAGTATGCCCAATGCAGGCTTCAAAGAGTGAACCCCTCAACTGGCTTGTTTACAGAAGCGAGTCTGGCTGAAGCCTGTGTACCAGTGTCAGAGTAACTCGCACCCAAATTCCATTCCCACAACTAAAACCTTCAGACTAGAAGGACAGTGTTCTAATTACATATATTTTGTCTATTCTGTTCCTAATTTGAGAATGCTGTGTCTTGTCCCTTATGAGCCTTGCTTACATTATTTCCATAGGAAACACAGGTTGCTTTTACCCCATTTGATTGCCAATAAAAGTCAGTGCTTGCGATTGTCCAGGCCTTTGTGGGTTGCACCAGCGTTGATCATCCTGGCACCTCACTTTCCCTCTCTTAGTTCTGTCTCTTTGTGTATTCTTTTCCTCAGGCCTGTGACATATACTGGACAGGTGAGGACTGGAACCTGACTACAGGGGTCTCCAGCAGGATAGAATGCATTTCTCCCTTCTTTTTCATCCTGGGGCAACTGACTGATATATGACAGCTGGAGCAATACTATGCCTCTTCTTCTAGTCTTTAAGAATGGCAGTTTCTCCTCTTCTCCTTAGAATATTCATGCAGAGGAAAGCCAGCCATTAGGTAAGAAGTGAGACTACACCAAGTCTCATGAGAAAGCCTAAGCAGCTCATATTCAGAGACGATGCAGAGAGAAAAATGATGCTGGCCAGTTCCAGGCTGTACTGATTTTTAGTAGTTTCTCACTCAAATTCATGTCTACCTGGAACCTTAGAATGTGACCTAATTTGAAAATAGGATCTGCCAATGTAATTAGTTGAGATGAGGTCATGTTGGGGTAAAGTGAAACCGAAGTCCAATGATTGGTACCCTTCTAAGAGGAGGACCCAGAGAGGTGTACAGATATGGAAGCACTGGAAAGAGGCCCTGTGAAGACAGAGGCAGATGTTGGAGGTACACAGCTACCAGTCTTGGCACTCCTGCCAGGGATTGCTGGGAGCCACACCAGGAAGGACTTAGAGGAAATCCTCCGGTGACGCCTTAATTTCAGTTACTTAGCTTCTGGAATTGTGAGAGAACACATTCCTGTTGTTTTCAGCTGCTCTGTCTGTGTGTGGTAATTTGTGACAACACGCTCAGGAAACGGATCCTTTCATTGTTAAAAATAATAAGAAATATTTTTTCCAATTTATTTTTCCTGTAATTTTGTGATATTTCTTGGTCTATAGAAGTTTACATTGCTTAGTGAGTTAAATCAGTCATTTATTTTATATAATTATTCATTGGTGCTTTGTTTAAATAAATTTTTCCAGAGCTGGGGTAGAGCACTTCCCTTGCATGTGTGAAGCCTTGGGTTCAATCCCCAGTACTCTAAGGAAAAATGTCTTTTCTATAAAAATATACCTATACTTTCCTTTAGTATGCTTATTTATAAAAAGTTTAAGTGTTAATATACTAGAAGTTTATTTTAGTATCATTGTGAGGTAGAGAGTTGATTTTTATTTGCTTTTATTGGATAACCATCATTTCCCCACTTATTTAAAAAGCTAACTTTGGGCTGAGCATTTAGCTCAGTAGCTCTGCTGCCTACCTTGCAAGGGCAAGGACCTGAGTTCGATCCCTGGTACCCCCCCCAATAAAAAATAAAATAAAAAGCTAACTCAGGTACTGACTGATCTAATTTCCATGTTTTTTTTATTAGTGTCACTCTATTTTTATTAGTGTTGCTCTGTAATACATTTTATCAGAGTATTGTTTTTATGAATTCTTTTGGAATAATATATTTTTCTTGAACCTATTTTTTTCTCTTAGTGATTACAACATTATGTTAAAAAGACTGCGAAGCACCTCTAAAACTATAGTTAATTAGTTTTTTTAAGTGAAATGTCTAAAGACAAGGATACGAAAGTTGTCTATAGGAGTGTAACTTAGGTTTTCTTTCATTTCTATCATGAATCTCCCATCTTCATCAAAGTGGATCTACGCCTCTTATTCCAAGCAGAGAACATGGGTAGAGTCTGGACTGTACTGTTTTCTTTTTTTTTTGAAGAATTTTTTTTCTTTTATTGAGTTTATTGGTACATTTTAGGTATACAGTACAATTACATTCATTATTGGGATCTTGTACTTTTGCATGACAGGTCTTGGTTCTCATTTCTTCCCTGTGTCCCTGCCCTCCCTTTGCCCCCCCTCCCCTCCCCATTTACAAACACTTTATTTCCATTTTTTCATTTTGTTATATTTTTCTTTTCCCTTATTACCTTTCCCCAACCCTTCCCATTTTCCCTACACCTTTAGCCCTTTTCTTCCTATTTCACATTGTCAATTATCTCATTAAGATCTTATGTACTATTAAAGCTTTTCACACCAGAGAAACTATTTGGTATTTATACATGTGTGAATTATTTATTCACTTAGGAGTATATCCTCAATATGTATCCACTTTCCTATGAATGAATCTAATTTCTCATTCTTTATGGCTGAGTAGTATTCCATTTTATAGAAAAACCACATCTTCATTATCCAATTTCCAACTGATGGGCAAATGGGCTGTTTCCAAGATTTAGCTATTACAAACTGTGCTGCTATAAACATTGGTGTGCATATATCACTGTGGTATGATTCCTTTAATTCTTTTGGAAAGATACCCAGCAGAGGGATGGCTCGGTCAGATGGAACCTCTAGTCCCAGCTCTTTGAGGTGTCTCCATATTGATTTCCACAGTGGCTGCACCAGTCTGCACTCCCACCAACAATGGAGAAAAGTTCCTTTCTCCCCACAACCCCGCCAACATTTGTTATTGTTTGATTTCTTGATAGCAGCCATTCTTTGTGGGGTGAGGTGGAATCTCAGTGTTGTTTTCTTTCTTTCTTTCTTTTTTTTTTGGTACCGGGGATTGAACTCGGGTCCTTGTGCTTACAAGGCAGGCTGTCGAACTGCTGAGCTAAATTCCCGGTGCTCAGTGTTGTTTTCATCTGCATCTCTCGAATGACCAGTGATGTGGAACATTTTTTCATATATTTACTTGCTGCTTTTACTTCTTTGTCTGAGAAATGTCTGTTCATTTCAGATGCCCATTTTTGAATTGGGTCTTTATATTTAGGGGGGCTGATTGTTTTGAGTTCTTTATATATTCTAGGTAGTAGTCCTTTGTCTGAGGAGCAGCTGGTAAAAATTTTTCCCCCATTGTAGGTTGTCTCTTAGTTCTGTTGATGGTTTCTTTTGCAATGCAGAAGCTTTTTAATAAGATGAGATCCCAGTTTGTTGATTCTTTCTGCTCGTTCCCGTGCTATTGAGGATTTCTTCATAAAGTCTTTTCCTATGCCAATGTCTTCAAGAGTTCTGCCTAACTTATCTTCCAGCAAGTTTAGTGTTTCCGTTTTAATATTCAGATCTTTAATCCACTTGGA